GCCGTATGCACACCTTTTCCACGAGGGGAGCTACGGTACGCCATCCCATTAGACTGAAGTAGGGAGAAGAGAGGGGTAGGCGGATCTCGCTAGCCCTGAAATTGTGCCCACTGCGCGGAATAGCCCATCTTGTCCCCCTCTCTCGCGAAATGCTTCGCGGGGACCGTGTGCATACCGTCATTGTTATTTTCATATGCGTTGCAGAAATCTTGAGCCCCTGCGATTTATGTACCGTCGATTCGCCCAGATAGTGCCTCGGTCATCGCGGTTTGGTGCAATTGCGTACCAGGCAGGGCAGCTCGGTTGTCGCTGGAGCTGCAAGCGAGAATTAGCTGTTTCCAGCCTTCTCGCTTGCTGCTCTAGTGACAACCGATGCCGTGAACTGCCTGGTACGCAATTGCACCAAACCGCGATGACCGAGGCACTATCTGGGCGAATCGACGGTAAATTTGCCTTGAGACCTTTATAGGCGCTAGGATCTCTGGTATCAAATCTGCGCTGGGTATTTTCTGTGTGCGGCGCATAACTCATAGTGGTTGATTTTAGATCTATCTTCTATTGGATGTTCGTTTTGTGACATGTCTGTCGGTGCCGACTTTACGTTCCAATGGTTAGGAAATCTTCACTGTCATATTTTTAACATTTTCACAGATTTCTCATAAGATATCTGAATGTTGATGTTGCAGATGCCGCTTCGCCTGTATATATGCCGCGCAAGGGACCGACAGGCCACGTTCCTTCGTTCGTCCTTTGGCAAGCTTCTACCGACAAGACGCACTTCCATCGCTACATCGTCGGCAGCTCACTACAACAAGTTCGCTTCAAGGTCGACGTCAATAATTCAAGTTCTCAATATCTGCTTGTCAGTTCGTTGCTGTCCCCTTTGTTATTTGTTGATTTTTACATAAACCTTTATAATTTAGCGTGGCCAGTGTTACACAATACACTGTAGGCCGAGCATACTAAGGAAGGCTTGATACCCTCCATCAATGTCCGCCTTGTGGTGCTCGTCTTGCTAATGGGACAACTCCTCCATTTTCAGAACTTGAACAAACACCTTTCGGCTTTTTTTCGGTGAATTGCAAATTTTGTGCCCTCTCATTTTCACTATGGACAAATCTAGTGGAGGATGTTCTAACGATGCAAAATGTTAAAACACACTTTTTTGTAGGCGTTGCCTTTAAAGGTAAAACTCCGCGAAATCTAGGTTTCTGCCACATTTGGTGTAAAGCTGCCAATGTGGTCTTTTCTATCCATTGCAGAAGTTTCAACGAAAAGCTTCTAGCCGTGTTCGAGAAAAACTGCGGAACAGCTTCTTGTTTTAGAGCTGGTGTACGAGTTAATATACAGAGGTGATGTCGCAAAGTTAATGGGTTTTTTCTTTAGCTGATTTGTTCTTGCATGTTTTTGTTCAGGATCGCTCGAGATATCAGCTTTAAAAAAGACGCTCTTCCGCGTTTACCTCGAAAACGACTGGAAATTTTCCGCTGAAACTTCTGCAATCGTTAGCAAGGACCCATACGCAAAGCTTGGCAAAAGCGCACAAAGTTAGATTCTCCGAAACACTACCTTTAAATACCAGCTAACCCGGATTGCTTCGCGGCGCTGCTCTGTTGGATGAAACGGCCTTGCCTTCTGTTGGAAATCTTTGCATCTTTTCAGCCCTGCTTGATCAGGGGTTCTGTTAGACGACTTCTGTCTTCCATCTTTGCAAAATTTTGCTCCATGGGAGGATCGAACACCTAACCTCGGCATTTCTTATTCTTATAAGTAACACGCGCTAACCAGTTGAACCAATGGAGCACAGATCGGAACTTTCAGCATTTGACCGTAACGGTCGAATTTCTGATGTTTTTATGAAAGTCGAAGATGTTGTATTCCAGCTTTGTGAGGCAAAGGGTTGTACGGCTGCCGAAAGCGTTTTGTAAAAATCTGCTCCACGGGAGGATCAAACTCCCGACCTCAGCATTTCTTATTCTTCTTGTCAGTAAAGGGGGATTACAAAAGCAGATCATACTCTACTGATCTAAAGAAAGGCCGCCGCCGTCCGGAAATTTCTCGATTGAACACAGCCATTGTGAGAATGGTCCGCCAAAAACGAAAGCGGCGAAGGTCCACCCAAGGCGAGGAGGATCAGCCGTCGAGTGTTCGCCATAGGAGTGTCAGCAGCCAGAGGTGAGTTCCCCCTGAACTGACAGTCCCCCCCCCCTATCCCCCCTACACATTTATTTATTTAATTGTTTGTGCTTGCTTAAAATAAACTCTAGCAAGAAAACCGTGTCTTCCTTGTCACTGAGGCAATGTGGGCAAAAGAACAAAGACCTACAATATGGCGGAGTCGATGGTAGAAGGAACAAGTCAAGTAATGAACAATAGTGCTAACAGACAGCCGCAGGAACAGCAACGGAGGATATTGCACAGTCAGCAGCAGAAACGTCTGTTCCTGGCAATTTCTGAAGCAGTGCGGTTGGTGAAGGCTAAGGTTAAGCTAGCGCAAATTGAAGCTCTTAGACATGCGCAAAGACCACCAACACCACATCAAGCTCTTTTCAGAGAACTAAATTCAACTCCAGAGGAAATTAAGCAACTACTCACGGCAGCCGATGAGCAGGCTGGTTATTAACGTCATAGAATAAAAATTTAAGTGCGAGCTAAAAAAAGTAGCTGTTCGAATTAAAAAAAGAGCGCAGGATAAGTGAGGAACAAGCTAAAAATGCTACTTTACAGTTAAGAGTGGACAAATTGCAAAAGGAGATCGCTGAAATAGCCGAAGCTCGCCAAGCGGACAATAGTACAATGGCAGGTGCACCAAAGATCTCTCACTGGTATGCAATCAAAACTCAAATTATGGGAGTGTCTACAAGTCAGGTGATTAGCCAACTTTTGCAGAATGGCTCAATTGCATCAACACAGCGTTCTCATACATGGAAAGATGGACAAACGAGGGTCCCGAAAGCAAACGAAGGTCCCATTGGTATTCGAATTAATTCATTCGAATACTCGAACAGTCGAATAACCGAATTTTTGGATTTTTCGAATTATTCGAATATTCGAATAATCGAATATTTCAGGTTCTCGAATAATTCGAATATACAAATAGGCGAAATTTCGAATTATTCGAATATTCTTCCGAAAATATTCGTTCGAATACCAATGTATAGTAGTCAATCAAACAGAGGATCCGTGGATAATAAACAAAGGAGAAGTCTTAGGTTAATGGACTGACGAAAAATGGTATGACTCGCAGTCGGCAGTTGTCCTCGGTGATATGTTAGTAATGAAACGACAGGAAGGTCCCGATGAAGAAAATAGGAACTGTTTGAGATTCTAGTTGAAGATCGCAGAGACCAAGTTTTATCTGATAGCTCAACGAAGTCGCAGCAGTACATAGCAGCGCTTTTGCATTGGCTGACATTGACCTTGGACGTACTAATATCATCTGTTATGACGTAGAACTCACCGATGATACACCGGTACGACAAAAGACCAGGCTTGTTCCTGTGGAGTACGGTCACAGGTAAGCGTTTACTAGCCGATCTGAAGGGAATTAAAATAATCGAGAACAGCCATTCTCCTTGGGCGTCGCCAATCGTCCTAGAAGCGAAGAAGAACGGCTTAATAGGACTGTGTATTGATTACCGCGAGTCATCAAGAAAACAAAGAAGGACCCTTTCCTCTTTGTGCAGTCGACGCACTTCAAAATCCTCGGAGAAAGAAGTTCTTTTCTTCATTCGGTTTAGCGTCAGGCTACTGGTAGGGTCCTTTAACCGATCGAGCAAAAGAGATTAGTGCCTTCACTATGACAGCGGGACTTTTCCAATTTCGTGCACTTTGACTTGGACTTATGACAGCGCCAGTGGTACTCCGGAGACTGACGGAAAGAGTTCTCGAAGGACTAATAGGAGCGGAGGTGTCAATATATGTACATTGATGATATATTGATTGCGACGGAAACCGTCAAACACCATTATGAAGTGCTCTCTATGGTACTAGAATCGCATATTAAAGCCAATCTCATAGTAAAACATCAGGGATGCTAGTAATTTGGCCGAAATGAGCATCAAATCACAAAGTGATATCGGAAGTTAATTGGGACTTAACACTGAAAATTATTTTCTTCAAATATGCTAATTAGGAATAGAGAGAACGATTCTGAAGAGAAGAACGAAAATTTGAATCAAATTTTGATCTAATTGTCGGTTTTAATGTTCAGAGTGATGCTCACGTCTTGCTCACGTCGATATCATTGTAGTGGCGGGACAGCCGCTAATGCATCAGAGAACGCGAGAGAGCGCGTGCTAGAAAGAGGCGCAGACGTTATCATAAACAAGGAGCAAAATGTCCTCCGGAGGACATTTTGCTCCTTGTTT